AGAGAGAGAGAGAGAGAGAGAGAGAGAGAGAGAGAGAGAGAGAGAGATCTAGTAGCTCTGATTTTGTGAATGGGATGCTTTAAAGTAATTTCTACTTATTGAACATGAGATCTAGGGTCTGGAGAGATTGATTGCTCAGTGGTTAAGAGAATTGACTGATTTTCAGAGTTATGTGTTAGGTACCCAGTACCCACATAGGCAGCTCACAACCACCCTCACTCCAACTCCAGAGCACCTGATGCCTCTGGCCTCCTTGGCACCTGTCCCATGCACAGACACACATAAATGCACATAGTTAAAAATAATAAAAATAAATCTTGAAAACAAAACCTGCTGGTCACTTTCGGGAAGGACTAAGGAGTCTTCTGCTTTGAACTTCGGGGAAAATCAAATGCGGGTGGTTAGATTAACTACATTTCTGCACCTCGATACACATGAAGACAAAGCTGAGCTGAGCAGCAGGCGCCAGGTGTCGCTCTTCCCTGGCTTACTAACCGTTCTGCAGGTGGCTCTCCTTCACCCAGATTCATGTCAAATAACCCAGCTGAGCCAAAATAAGGACTTTTTTTTCCCTCTTTTTCAACTCAGTCGTCACTTTGATTGACCAATTCATGTCTTTGAAAATATCTTTTTAAACCAGGCGTGTGGTGCACAACTGTGATCTCAGCATTTGGGAGGAGGAGGCAGAAAATCACTGTAAGTATGAGGTGTACCTAGGAAATCCCAGGCCATACACAGAGGGCTAGACACATAGCAAAACCTAATCAAAAATAAATAAATTAGTAAATAAAGGCAAAACCCTAAGCAACAACACAAGCCACACTTTTTAGTCTATGGCGAAAAGCACAAGGCCTAATTCTTAACTGTGTGCAATTGGATCCGAATCCTCTTGAATCAGCATACTTTTAACAGTAGAATCTTCAAAGACCTTCAAAGTCCCACCTGCACCAAACAACAAACCACACCAGGGACTTTTCCCTGCTGGAGGTTATTGTAGTCATCAACCCTGACTCACTACAAACAATTCCAGGGAGTGCAGAGGCCTAGAAGGGGAGGAAGGTGTCCTTTACAGATATGTCACCCTTCAAAACCAAACTGTGAGTTGAAAAACAAACCAGTTCTTTTTCCCTTGACCCACGGACAATGGTACGATTAGCCAGGGGAAACACAGCTGACAGGACAGACTGTAAGGGGAAATTAGCTTGAGGATGCAGATGAGGGACTGCCTAACCGACAGGCAGTGGGCAGCCTCCGGGGCTGTTTCCCATTCAGGGTCCCAAGGTTTCAAGGACTGCTGTGTTTTCCTCATGTGCTCTGTCCACACTGACACTCGGAGCTTTCCTTGCTGGTGTGTGTGGTCTCTCTGTACTTTTGTGACCTCTCTTTTTCACTTTTTAAGATCTTTTTCTCAGCACACTCTACAAGTATACACTTCAATCAACCCGATAAAATTACCCGAAAGCAAAATCACAAGTAAGGCATCATAAGTAATAGGCACCCCAGTTTCTCTCACGTTTGTGTCAAAAGGCATCAAAAGACAGAAAGGCCAAGATAGTCAACTCATTAAAAATTTCTTGACTTCATATTTTTTTTACTGTATAAAACTCTGGGGGAATTTTGTACAAGTTTGTATTCAGAGTCAAAAAGAAACTAACCTAAAATCCATTTTCTATTGTTTCGTCCAATGACCTTGCCAACTTTTAGTTCAAATCTAATAAGGAGGAAGTGTAAGTGTCTTCTCAACCACAAACCTGTCCAGTCCTATGCTCCTCAGCACCAATGACTCAGTCTGCATTTTTAAAGAACCCTAGCATTGCCTGCTGCAAAGACGGGTGAAGGGCACACTTGGGAATTTGGGGACATACCAAGTGTTCGCAACAAAACAAACTGCATTCCCAGCGCAAAGGGCCTTTCCTCATCTTCCACGGACCTAGAGAGAAGGAGAAGGAAAAAATGGTTCAAAACAGTGGTGCGAAGAAAATGCCAATAAAATCGAGTCTGCCTTAGGCATAGCCATAAGAACCTTTCCCAAAATATTTAGTCCACCATGATGTACTAAGTCACCAACCCAGATTCCCTGGGTGCATCACAGATGACACATGTTTCCACCAGAGACTGATTAATTCCATTTCTAAATGAATAGTGGAGGAGGAACCAGGCTCCTGGCTAAAGAGATGGAAGTTCCTTTAAATAAGCCCCCTGAAATCCCCTCTACTAAGAACATATTGTAAACATTTGTCCTATCCATTGCAATCTTATTCTCTCCCTCTGTCAGAATGTTCCAGAATTGAAGGTGTACCCAATGAAAATCATTCTTATAACTCCTCCAAGATGATGTGGGTTATGTCCTGGCTAATTTTAGGTCAACTCGATACCAGTTAGAATTATCTGAAAGTGGGGGAATCTCAATTAAGAAAATGTTTTCATAAGATCCAGTTGTAGGACGTTTTCTGAATTGATGATTGATACAAGAGGACCCAGCCCATGGTGGGTAGTGCCATCCCTGGGTCGGTGGTCCTGGGTTCTGTGAGAAGGCAGGGTGAATAGGCCATGAGTAGCAAGCCAGGAAGCAGCACACTCCATGGCCTCTGCATCAGCTCCTGCCTCCAGGTCCCTGCCCTGTTTGAGGTTCTATCCTGACTGCCTCCAAAGATGAACTATAATGCAGAAGTGGGAGCCAAATAAACCATTTCTTCCCCTCTTGTTTATAGCCCTGGTGTTTCATCACCACAGTAGAAACCCCAACTAAGACAAAGTAAAAACAGAAATGTACACACGCATATGTACATACATATAAATGAAAAGTCAGAGAAGTAAGCTTATCCAAATCATATCCCCCACCAAAATAAAATTGATGTTCTAAGAAATTCCCATGTGGTAGAAAGATTGGAACCTATTAATTTTGAAATTATCAGAGGTTAAAAGACCCTTCTTTAGAGATTTGGTGTTAGAAGAAAACTCATAAATTGCCAAGCTGAAACACTTCTGAGCATTGGTAAAGCGAGTGGCCCTTGTACAGTCTATTTAAGGCTCCCTATAGAATCACAGAGGAGAAAGAGTGAGATGTTTCACACAATTTCTACAGGATGAAGTGCCTTATGCTTTTCATTTCATTCACAGAGGATTTAGGCATGGATGGGAAATATTTCCAGGCCCAGGGCCCTCACTGTCTTTTCCTCATATTCTCTATGTCTTCCAGCAATTTCCCAGCTCTGAATGCATGGTTAGGCCATCAACATCTACCGACAGTGAGTAAACCACTAGGCATTCCATGCCCTGCTTCTTCCATTCAGGAAATGTCTATCTCAGCATCCAGAGAGAAGAAGCCGGAGTGTGTGAAGGGTACAGGCTATGCCCTCTCAGCGAGCATGGTGCTCCTGGCCAGGAATTCAGCACGGTGACCTTGGAAAAGTCAGGAGGAAGAGCAAGGACTGACTCCCTTCCTCATGTTGTCCTAGGGCCACGCCCATGCTCCCCTCTAACCCACAGGGTTTTACCTTTGCCACAGTACCCTCTCTGTCCACCACAGCCTTTAATGCAAGGGATAACAAGTAGATTTGAATTCAACAGAACAAAAGTGCCTCCCGTGTTCTCTTCTAGAACAGAAGCGGGGAAACCAGGATCTGCAATCCAGCAATGAAAGCGCAGCCTGACCACTGGAAGTTCACATTTCCAAGCCTCATCTGTCCTTGATTCAGCTCCAGGACTTTACACAACAGTAAAATTAATGAACTCAGCATTTTGAAATGCAAACCCAGCATAATTCCTCATCGATCGCAGAGGTGCAGTATTAACTATCCATGAGGCCGGAGACAAAACCCTTTGCAATATTCACAATCTAGCCACTTTGCCAAACCGTTTCCACCCTCCACGAGGGTCTGGCTTCTTGGAGCTAACATAGAGATGGCTTTCAACTCAAGTTATCTAACCTCATAGCACAAAGACTTCAGACACTAAAAGCACTGGGAAGAAAGTTTGATAAAAATAGGAATCAAGCCCAGCTGACAAAAAGAAATTCTAGAGTAGGCAATGTGTCAGCCATCTTTTTCTCTCTGATGTCAAAGCTCTCCCAGAAGCCTAGCAGGAAAGGTGGGGCACCCTCCTGCAAGCTACTCTCACCATCCCCCAGTTTGCTTCGCTTTGGTCCCCCTGCAGTACACCGTCTGCAGCGCTCGCTTGCGGGTGCTTTCTCACCTGAGTGTCACTATGATGGCTGACGGTTGGGCGCAGGCTGTGATGAAGGTAACTATGAACAGGAAGACCAAGAAGGGGATGAGGGTGTTGCAGGTGCGTTTGCACTTCCCGGACACAGCATAGCCGTTCTCATTGAGATAAGTTTTCACGATGACCACACGGAGCTGGCTGCGCTGGCCCACCGTGGGCGGGGTGATCACTTGTCGGCTTTGGACGCAGGCGCACTCTGTATAATTGCGAACCTAAGGAGCAAACAATAAGCTGTATGTCAATCAAAACTAAAACCCGGAGATGGAATGCTGACAAAGTAAAAGTGCTGAAAAGGAACTATATGAAATTAAACGCACAGTATTGCACGCGAAACACTTCTTTTCTTAACAGCAAAAAAGGGTCAAAGTTGGCCTTAATCATATCAAAACCTACTAGTCAAAGTTTAAACCTAAACTTCCCCGAGAAGCTTTAAACACTCAATTCTGTGACATTGGCATGCCATGTGCTCATCTGGGATCATAAATATACACGACTCCCATGGCTGTTGAACCTGTAGACTCTCTTGTTAGAGAGGTTCCAAGAACAGAGCCACTTGATTTTTATTTGTGGTCACCAAGGTACCTAGCACGAGTCTGAGCACACAGTGAGGCCTAAAGTAGACATCTATTAAACTCCATCACATGTGTGATGGCTTCTAACAAGCAGAGTGCTGTGGCCTAGGAACGGTGGCTTCAGTGCCTGTATCAGGAGGAGCGGGCCTGTTTTTCCTACCCCGCTAGTTTACACCCGAAATAATCACACAGAAATTGTATTAATTAAATCACTGCCTGGCCCATTATTTCTAGCCTCTTATTGGCTAACTCTCACGTATTAGTTTAAGCCATCTCCACTAATGTGTATCACCACTTGACAGTGGCTTACTGGCATGAGTCTAACCAAGTATCCGTCTAGGGCAGGAGAACCATGGTGTCTGCCACATTGTTCTTCTTCCCAGCATTCAGTTCTGTCTACTCCACTTATCTAAGTGCTGCCCTATCAAAAGGCCAAGGCAGTTTCTTTATTCAACCAATGAAAACAATACATAGATAGAAGAATCTCCTACAAGTGCCGATGATGACATTTCCTCTGGCTGCCCCAGTTTAAATACCCTGTCATTCCCTTCAACAGGCTAGCAGTCTCCGTGTGTGTGTGGAAGTTTGCATCCCTTCATCCTGTACTGTAGCCGTGGCCCAGTGCTCCAGACTCTGACAGACTCCAGTCTCCCTTTGTCATTTTCAGTCTCCCTTGGTCATTTTCCCCAACACATATCTATGAGACCCTATTGATACATGATACTGCACTAGAGGAGCAGAGAAGACTAAATCATCTCCATTAACTTCCCAGACTTCCCAAACACAATGATGAAAATGAAACTCCTCTTGGTGTGGTCTAGTCAGAACTCAAACAAGCTAACAAAGGCTAACGTGGTCAACCATATCTTTGTCTAGCTGGTGTCTTACTTTTTACTAAATGGAAATTAGCTGAACTAGTTTGCATGGTGACTGCTTACTTAAAACAGGACTAAGAAGAGGTTGGTGGGGCGTTGGCCATGTAAGCAGGAAGGACTTCCAGTCTTTCTAATAAAAAAAAGTGGGCCCAGGAGATCTTACTCAGTGCCATACAACACCGCATGGATCATTCCAAAGAAACAATCTCATGGGTTCAACAGGGTCATACTCCAGAGTTCACCAAGTAAGCCACAGGGAACCTGAAAGCATAATTTCCTATTTATTCTCTGGTTTCAAACTCAGAGAACAAAGGGGTACCTAAATTCTAGGTCAACGGTGTAGTCTCTAGAGACTACACAGAACAGGCAAATCGCATTTTAACCTTCAAATTGGGGCAATCACCTCCAATCTGTTCTCATGCCAACAGCCAAATTGGGCTCAGTAAAGAATAGAGTAAAATATAAAAGCCTTCTCCCACAGTATTAAAGCCTATTTATAATTCACGGGGAAGAGAATTCTCAGAATAGACCATTCTTCAGCTGACAGAAATATCTTTACTCTGAAAGTTAAGGAGCAGGGGTGTAGGGGGTGAACTGCCAGATAGTCTTATGAAAAATAGGCATCACCCATCTTCACAGACACCTGTTAGAGAACCAGCCTCCACAGCACAAACACTGGTCACCTTGACCTTCACATCCAGTACAAAGACCCTGCCAGAGGAAAAAACGGGAAACCCGGAGTCCAGCCGTATCAAGTTTCCCTGAGCTGGCCTGGAATGTCAAGTAGGAGCCAGCTGATGAGGACCAGAGCTCTACACCCAGATTCTCCCAGCACCCCCCACAGCAGTGATAGCCCCACACAGTTTGCCTCTCATGAGGAGCTTTTCAGAGGCGCTTGGAGAGCTATTTGGAGCCTCATGTTCAAGGGAAATTGAAGTCAGCATGGGTGCATGTGAGTCCCATCCTGTCCTTATCTCGTGATGGTGTATTAACAGTAGGAGAGAGACTTATGGAGTATACTCACCCCGGTGCTAAGATTGCCACTGTTAACACAGCCAGCCAGGCATGGGTTGAAGTACGTGATTCCATCTGATCCACAGACTGGCTCGTATTCGTGTATTTTACAACCACAATTAACATTGCAGCTTCCTGTCAGATTCCTATGGGGCATGGTCAGAGAAGGTCTGAGAGAGAGAGAGAGAGAATGAAAAAAATCAAACAAGACTGAGAATGAAACAAAAAGAACATTCTTGATAGCAAGTGAATTTAATTTAGAGATATCATTCCCAACAATCAAACTTATGGTACCATGAAGTAGTTACCCTCCAGAGCTATTTCCATAAACTTGTAACAAAATATAGAGAAAATATTTCTGTTTTCATTAGAATAGATGGAATTGATTTAAAATCAAATTGTCTATCCTAACTCAATCCCACTGTCCACCTTGATTCGAGAGACTGACCTCAGGTCTGAGTCTAGTGACTTGGACTCTCATAAAACTCCTCACTGGGAAACACTAGGCTCTGAGTCTTAACAAGTATGTATCATGATTCATTTCATTTGATTTGATTTTGGTACCTGCTAGGGATTAAGCCCAGCAATTCATGTATAATGTCTGAACTCTAGCACTAAGCCAATACCCATCTTTGTTTATTTTTATTTATATATAATACTTATACAAATTTATGGTATATGTGTGCTATTTCAATACACATATATATTACATTATGAATCAATCAGCTAATTACCATAGCTTTTGTCTTAAAATTGATTGAGTTTTTGAACCATAAAATAGAGAAAATATGTTTCATTACCGAATCTTTAAAATCATTGTGAGCACATGGACATAAAATCCATCCACCAGCCCCAGGTGCCAGTGTAGGTTCTGTCTATTAAAGACTTGACTTGTTCTAGAATAATCTACCAAAGGAATAGAATAACTCTAGGACACCAAGAGGAAGAGATTCTTAAAGGTGACTGGCTAGGGACTCTGTCACTAGTTTGACAGAAACAACAAAAGAAAAGAGCAGAAATCACTAGAAATACCCAGATGCAATTCACAGTCAAACATAATGGACGTGTTTCCCCATGAAGCCGCAGTGCCAAATAGAGAGAAAAGATGCAATAGGAAAGCTCGAGGGAAATCCATTCAAACCATGGGGAGAAATATGACATGAAAAGGCATGGAGATGGGGGGGATGGTCTAAAACAGCAGTGAAAGCGGGACAGGCAGGTTGGGGGAGCACAGAAGAACGAGATTGGCTCTAAAAAGCTCAGAACCAAGACAGCCTCACTTGACGCTTTGCTACCATTCTTACGCAGTACTGGTAAAACGCCATTCCTAGAGCTAAATATGTCAGCAGGAGCAGATGTTCCATGTGTCTGTCCCTTCATCCATTGTTCATCCATTGTTCACCTGTGACGTGTCTGGACTTTCTTCGGGGACCGTGCTAGCACAGCTTATCCAGTAACACAGCCCAGCCCAGCCGCACGCACTGCTCTACAAACTTAACATATACACTCTCTAGTCTACGGCTTCTCACACTTTGATAGCTTTGATGGGTGAAGAACCAAATTCAAAGCAACGCTACAGTTGTATCAGGAAAACTCCCGGACAAAGCAAAAGTCAAATAAATTCTGTCCTCCACATAAGAAATTATCTCAAGACACAATCATTATACTTACAAACTCTTAGTCTTAAGACATTTTAATATTTGAATACACCCCCAATGTCATTCCAAATGAGTGGTTACCAACAGGGACAATCTTGATTTCCCACCCAGGGGACATTTGTCAGTGTTGGAAGGTAGTTTGCGTTGCTCTAACTAAGGGGTGCTGTGAACATCTGTTCGTGTTATACAAGGATGCCTCCAAACACCGTACAATGTTTGAGACAGCTTCCACCTTCCACAAAAAGGAACAATCTAGCCCAAATGTCAGTGGTGCTGCAGATGAGACTTCAAACCAATCAGCACATTCTGTATGTGATGAAGGGGGGGCTGTAGAAGCCCAGTACCGTGTTAGCTATAGACATGCAGAAGTATAAAGGATAGTACAGTCACCTCACCAAGATTTCAGGAACTAAACTGCAAGCCACGACAAGAAAGAGAAGCCTGTCGAAAGGGTGTGCTTAGTCACTAAAACTGACAGGCTTCAATACCAGAGCAGCAGCTGCTAGTGCTGCTATTTAGAAGTTCTTGGCATTTTCCCTCTGACAGCCTGCTCTGCCTTCATGGATAACAGCCACACATTACAAATGCCTGTCAAAAGCCCGGCGGTGGTGGCACACACCTTTAATCCCAGGACTTGAGAAGTTGAGGTAGGTGGATCTCTGTGAGATCGAAGGCAGCCTGGTCTACAGAGTGAGTTTCAGGGCAGTCAGGACTGTTACACAGAGAAATTTTGTCTTGAAAAACAAAATTAAAAAAAAATTAAACAAGTGCCTGTCACTTAAGAGAATGTCCACTCAAGAGGAGTAACCCTAAGCAAACATCAACATACGCTTTAAACACATAGACAAGACCTTTCCTGTCAGGCCTACCTTGCTGGTTATATCTGTTTTTCTCTTGGCCTCTATTTCAAAGAAATAATATAATAGTAAAATACTCTAAGAGAAAATAAATTTAGGGGTCTAGAGAGGTGGATCCGAAGTTAAGAACCACTGCTGCTCATCCACAGACCCATGTTTAGTTCCCAGCACCCCCACCAGGCAGCTAACGGCCACCTCTCACACTAACCAAAGCACCCACGCACAGTGACGTGTACTGACATAGACATGTATACATGAAGTGTGAAATAAACCTTTTAAATATTAGCACCCAGGAGACAGGAGTGGTGAGTTCAGTGCCAACATGGTCTACATAGCAATTTCCAGGTCAGTTGGGACAACAGAGTGAAATCATGTCTCCAATAACAACAGCAGTAATAGTAGCAGCAACAATAAGAATACTTTTAAAAAGAAAACAGGAAATTCATTAAGGCAACCAATACAATTATCATGAAAGGAAGTAGGTACTCATGAGAGAGAGTCATTCAGAGGAAAGGTCACCATGGATTAGAAGAAAAGACGGTCAGCATGGCTTGTCCTCTGCATTGGGCTAATTTGCTAAGAATCTTTTTCTTTCTTTCCTTATTTAAAATAGAATTTTTTTTCCTCACATAACATATCCTGATTATAGTTTCCCCTCCTTCTACTTCTCCAAGTTCCCCCACCTCCCCTCCCATCTGGATCCACCCCTTTTCTATTCTTCATTAAAAAATAAACAGGCATCTAAAATATGATTATAAAATAAAATAGAGCACAATGAAAGCTTAGCCCATCAGAACAGGACAAAACAAACAAACAGAAGGAAAAGAACCCAAGAAAAGGTGCAAGAGACAGAGAACTGCTTGCTCACGCATTTAGGAATCCCATAAAAACATTAAACTGGAAGCCATAATATATACCCAACGAACCTGTATGGAGAAAGAGGAGAGAGAGAGAGAGAGAGAGAGAGAGAGAGAGAGAGAGAGAGAGAG